TGTAGTGTATTGTGGGCTGAAATGGAAAAGTGGGAGAAAAAGTTAAATTTCACAAATTGAAGCAAGGATATTCCAGATCAAAATGGATAAGAAAATTTACATAGTAGAAAAGTACAAAGCTGTGACTAGTATTTTTGTGCATTGCTGGCGTTAGTCTGTTAGATACACTGAGCACGGGTGGACTCTTACTGACTCATCATAGTGTCATGTTCCGGGTCTATCACCTCTTGAATTCTGACCTTTTGCTATTTTTCGACTGAATGTCAATTTTTATAGGTACCAATATATGCACGAGCTCAGGACGTGATGCATTTATTAGATCTGAAAAAAGTAGGAGCAACGGATGCCATTCTTGAAAGTGCAGAGGTACAGCAATGGAAATTCTTCTTTTTCTTTGCTTCAGTGTATGTGGATTCTGATCACACCCTATATATTCCTGCAGACAAGTTTACAGCTGGGGTCGAAACTTCTAAAAGGGTTTGGTGTCATGTCTGATGATGTAACTTTTCTGAGTCAACTTGTTCGAGATTCGATGGAGCTGCAAGCCCAAGAGGTTGTTGATAAAACTGATGATCAAGTGTCTAAAGTTATGAAACCATTGCAGGTACTAATTAATCGTTAAAGAATGCAAGTTCATGCTTCATTTCTACATGTTTGAATGAATATTAATTATGATTTTACTAGTATTGGACCATTAAGATTGCATGTCTGTGGTGTGACATTATTTCTAGTACTAGTAGTCTGGCACTAGCTGGCATTCCTGTGAGGTGAACTAGGGTTTCGTAGTGGTCTAGCACTGATGATCAAGTGTTTTTGGTATTTCATCCTTATACTTTAATCAACTGTCCCAATATGTAGAATGCAATTGTATTTTCTATTTAAACATGCCTTTTTACTACTTAATGAGTGCTGATTACCTCTCCCATCAGGTAATATATATCCCCTATCCCATGATTTTTTCATTCGTGTGTTCCCTTTTCAATAGTTAATTTGGGTTTCACCATTTGCTGGTTCAAACCTTTTATATGCAGTTATTATTATTATTATTTTATTTTATCATGCAAAAGTATAAAATAAATCCTATAGACAACCAGATACTTAAAACTATTTTTGGAAGTCAAATGGGAAAAAAATAGGCTGGAGAAGTATTTGGTTAAAACTAATTTGTACAGGTAATGGTAGCACTAAAAAGAAAATAGAAGAGTAATAAGTAAAATGAGAAGTTAGGTAGCAGTACTTTTCAGTTGCTTTACCAGTTACCAAAAGAAAAAAAGAATAATGAGGAGTGTAAACTATTTATGCAAGAAAATGCCCAACTATAGAAGTGGATGAATTAGGTAATAAACACACGAGAGGGTTTTTCTTTTTTAAAGTCAAGTTTTCATTACTAAATACCAAAACAGTGTCAAAGTATGTACAAGTTGTCTCTCTCTCTCTATGTATATCAAATTGCCTATACTACATTATTCTTTGTTTACATAAAACATACAACTGAAATTAGATAACTCTTTTAATACTGTCTGTGAGAAGGCACGGGAGAAAATATGTTATTGATATTGGATGATAAATACAATACAAGAG